CCTAGAATTACAGAGACATGCATGCACTCTCATACTTCACACCTACACTCAGAATGTAACATTTGCCATGTAGGGGCCAAGAGGTGGTTACACGCACAATCACAGACATGCACACAGACTTGTGTTTCCATAACTTTAGAGGCCATTATACTCATTTACATTTCTAATCAATTGTGTACTCGTAGTAACCTAGCTTTAAAAAGCAAGAACCCAACTATGATGGGTTCTTGCTTTTTGAGCCCATAAGGAAGACACTTGTGCAAATAAATGTAGATCTCTCCAATAAGTTGTTGTTGTGATTTGGCACTATATAAATAAAATTGAACTGATGTGATGCATAGCTCAAGAAACAAGAAAGACAAAGCATAAACATGCATCAAAAACAAAGTTTTGTGATATAGTCCTTGTTATATAGACACTACAGTAATGTACACTCTGCATATTTTGTTTTGAAGAAGCCAGACTTTCCTGGAATTTTTAATGTGGTCTTGAGCAATAGCTCTCATCTTTTTTATATATATATTTGCTGCTTTTCCACGCGTTTTCAGTCCAGTTCTTGGACCTGATCATTGTCAGATGAATGATTTTGTGTTTACTGAACCAGTGTAACAGACAACCTAATAAAGCAACTTATCTAACAAAGAACTTTATCTTCAGGAACTTTGTTAATAGCCTGTCACAATTTTTTTTTCTTTAGTTGAATCTAAAAATCTCAAGATAACACAGTCTGACAGGTGTAAAACAGTATTTATGAGTCAACAAGGAGTTTTCCCAAAGAGTTATTGTCTAGGACTTAGGCAAACTAGTCAAGTGGAGGACAAAAGAAGAGGTGACAGGCCTAAAAAAAATCTACAGCAGATGAACCGTATCTGAAAGTCACATCCTTAAGAAATAGGGGGAAAAATCCAGCAAAGACCTGACACAGGACTTGAGAGATGCATCTGACCCTTCAGATGATTCATCTACTGTTCACCACAGCCTCAGAAAAGGTCTCAGTGGAAGGGTGGTTGCCAAGAGGCCATTCTTAAGGGAAAAAAAACAGGGAGAAAAAGCTGAGGTATGCCAAGTTACAAAACCTGGACTGAATGCAGAAGAATATGGTCAGAATTCGATTCACCACGCAATATCATGGAAAGTATCTGAAAGTGTCTGATTGGCAGGATGTTCCTTTTTCAGCATGATAATGACCCCAAGCACACTGCCAGGGCAGTAAAGTCGCACCTAGACAGAAGAACACACAAGGGAATCCTATCAGCCATGTGAATAATGTTGAGCCTGGACCTCAACATTGTGTAAGCAGTGTCAGATCATCTCGGCAGAGAATGGAACAAAAGGAAGCCAACATCCAAAAAAGACCTTTGAAAGATGTTCAAGAAGTCTGGAGAATTACTTCTGAAGACTACTTCAAGAAATCAAAGGAAGCTTGCCTAGAAGAGGCAAGGCTGAGTTGAAGAATAAAGGCGATCATACCAAATATTGACTTTCAAGCTAGTTGTAAAACCTGTTTTTGCCTTAGATAATGTATTTTATGTACGTTTGCACGTTTTAATAAACTGTCGCACCTACTAGGGTGACTCAAGAATTTTTCATAGTACTATATAAGACACATGCAGACCTCCCTTATTATATTTAATCTTTGGTAAACTAATATGTATATTACTACTATTTTCTGTGATTGGCGTGCAAGACTTGCTCTGAAGTGACCTTTCTTTCCTGACATCTACCAAAGTCAGTTGATGGCCAGCTCAGGCTTGCTCACATGATTTTACACTTCTCTGAAATAATTCTTATGCCTGTGTTTCAATTTTCACTTTTTGCATTATGTCCTCACACTAAGATATTGATGCCATTTCTATGTCTGTAAAAACACTATGGAAGCTGAATGTCACCACTGAATAAGCTAGAAATCCTCGAAAAAGCATGGAAGGTTTAATCTATAAGTGTAAAATTTAGCAATGTTGGTAACCAAGGAGATCCATGGTGTTGGAAGAACAGCAACATTTTAAGTGTTTACACCAAATTCTAGTCTTTAATGTCTGCTTTAAGGTTATTTTCACTTTATTGATTTCTCCAAGTAATCTTAAGAGCTTGTTCACAATCAAACACTAAAAATAAGAGGGGTTTTTCTAATCACTAAACATACTGTGACCATCCTCCTCGAACAGTGTGGTCATTCTCTTTCTTTGAAACATGAGTGCCAAGCTTGGAGAGGCCGTGTGATTCCTCCTAATTCTGTATTGGCGCTCCGCACCCTCTTGCTGTGCTCTATACATAGAGAGTGACTTAGAGGTGTAAAGCTTTCACACCATGGAAACAGATTCATCATGACAGGCTCACAGAGACACTGAATGAAAGCCTCATAGATCTAATTTCAGAAAATAATATGCTTCTCTTTGGGGAAGCTCTCACTCTGAAGCTATGCTACTGCATTATATCAGGATATTGTGACGATGTCATGAACTCAAAGACCAAGAAATCCTTCTGGGTAATAATTCTGTTTCAACAGTCCTGTTTTATTCCACAGTAGCATATATGAATCTAAATCTCAACCAAATTACCAAACTACCTTATTGTGGATAACATTATGGAGGCCTGGAGCCTATTCTAGGAGCAGGGATAGGTCAGTAGGTAGAGTAGTTGCTCCATGATTGGAAGGTCGGGGGTTCGAATCCACTGAACGGCTACCCTGAGCAAGGTACCTTCCCTACTCACTGCTCCCCGGGTGCTTGCTTAGTGGATGCCCACTGCTTCACTGAGTGAATGGGTCAAATGCAGAGAAAAACAAGTAATTTCCCCATGGGGATCAATAAAGTATACATTATTATTATTCTAGATGACACTGAGCAGGAGGTGAGGTAAAGCCTGGACAGGTGACTACATGGATGACCACCTACTGCCTATATCAAGCTCAATTTATAGCTATTTTTTAAATCACATGACAAAGATATTCTGAGTGTGTCTTGAGACAAATTCAGATGATGGTCAGATGTTTGCTCCGTAAACACTAAAAGCACTGTGTGTATATCTGACAACCCTTATTTGCCAACATTTTTCATTATTCAATTCAATGATGCAATTTTTTGCTCTTGTCGCTGCTGATGACTGCAACTCGCTGAGCCTGGTTTCGCTGGTTATTTTCCCCTGTTAAAAGAGAGCTTTTCTTTCCCTAAGTCACAAAGTGCTTGCACAGAAAATTTAATCTGATTGTTGGGGTATTTACTAGAATACTGTAAAGTATAAAGTACCTTGATGCAAGTGTTTTGATTTTAAACTGGCTGTTGGCACAACACAACAAATACATATGACATGAATAAAGGCATTAGCATTAGTCATATACACACAGACCACAAGTTTGAGCTGGCATAACATACGGGATGCATATTGTGCTGAAAGACTGAGTTCTTAAACACACGCTTCCTTTCACACGCATTCATGTGCACGCATGCTTTGGTAAACTTGTTTCTGCTTTACTGAAGATCCCACATTTCCCTCCTTGTGTCTGTCATCATATAATTATGCCACTATGGTTCAAATGAATAGTTCCGGGGAGGACTTGACATCTGCAGATATACATATATTATAGTGATGTTATTATCACTGGAGTCACTAGTGGCAGAACGTGGCCAAATGATACTGTACAGGTTCTCAGCTTATCCAAACAAGTCTTTTTCTTCTCTCTCTTCAAGCCTTCCTGTCTTATTAGTTGCTGCTAATATATTCACATTCATTCATATTCATAACCCGTGCTACAGATATGCTGAATACCATTTCAATAAACTGTAACATTGTTCTCTGTTTAACTGTTATCAGATTACGACTTATCAAAACAGAACTGGTGAAAAGTCAAAGAGTGTGTTATGAATCTCAGTTTTATGAATAAACAGTACAAGCATTCATGCTACATTTGGATGTGGTTAGCGGGCAGATAACCTATGAGATAGAATAAAGTTATCGCTAATGTGATAACAGTAGGGGGTCACCGAAAAGGACATTTACTGTCTGCGTTGAAAAAGCATGCATTTCCAAAAATGTATGTACAAAAAGAAGCAAACAGCACTTTATTTAAGATCCAGAATTCTGCTTATCTCATTGAGAATTTTACACACATCATTTACATACCAAAATGATGTATATACAATAAATTTATATGTAATATGGACATTTACATATGCTGATGAACTGAGCGAATACCCTGTCTTCCACATCTATCACTGTCTCACACACACTCACGCACACAAACACACACAGCTTGTCTTAAGTAATCCCACTTTGTTCACTGGAGACTGTGTAGCTAAAAATACTGTGCCAGTAACTGATAGCTCTGCTGGTTGATGTGGAGGAACCCTGTTACTTCTATTACAGACCAGCAGAAGACACCAGGAACAGTTATGTAAATATCTATAACTTCTGTGAAATTGAGGCAGATGATTATTTGAAAAAAGAAGCTTCAATCTTTTTGAATAAAATCCAAAATATTTGTGAATAAACTAAATGTAGCTTAAATTCGTGTGTAAAGTATGGGAATATCAAAAAATAAATGCAACCTCTAAAAACTCCAATTATACTACGACTCCTTTTCTATCTCTATATTCGTGCATACCTGTTTCTTTGACCCACAGCTACTTTAAAAGGTATTATTAACCTTTGCACCCAGGCCCTAATTGATATTTGATGGATGCTGTAGTTGTGTCTTAGTCTTGGGATCGAGTACAGGCACTTAACCTAACCAAGAGAACCACAGGGCAGCCTTTTGATCCTCAGCTCTCACACAGGCAGAACATACCACAGCTTTGTGGCAAAGCCAAGATAGAAGCAATGATTCAGAGTAACAAACTCTCAGGACTAAGAAAAAAGTCAGATTAAAGAGTGAGGGAAATAGGAACTAAGGAAGAGGATGAAATAAAAGGAAGGCAGATAGGAAGGCAATGCTTTTGCTTAATAAAATAAGCAATTCAACTATAGTTATTTATAAGTTTTTCTGCCATTTTAAGTATACTAACCTGAAGGGGCCCGCTGGCTGGCATGGTGGATCTCAGCGATGTCAGGTCGATGTCTCGGCCCTGCTCTCCTCGCTCGGTCTTTCCCATTCCCTGCATAATGAGGCCCGTTGAGGAGCAAGCAATTAAACACAGTACACCCTTGAATGCTACTCTCACAGCAGTGAAAATACTAACGCAAGAGCGGCAGTGGTCGTTGTGAAGGGAAATCACCCTGGACGCCAGGCACAAGGCAAGCCCACGGTGGACAACAGAGGGACAAACAAACAGCTTATTCAGCCTACCCTGGTCTCTCTCCCTGTGCCTGACTCTCGCTTTGCACTCTTTCAGTTTCCCACTGTCTTTTTTTTTTTTGCCAGTATTCTCTCCTTTAATCTATTAAAAAATTCTAAAAGGCTCGAAAACAAATACATATTTTGTGTGTCTATTTGTGCCTGTTTGCACAACAAACGCATTGCTGTATTTCTGTCAAATTAACTGAGGTCAGGTGTGCTCCCAGTAAAGCACTGAGGCTTCATTGTTGGGAGTTTGCAGCTTTTTAAATTCAAGGAGCCCAGGCTCTGTGAAACTATGCTCCATACTATATTATGTGGACACAGGCCATATAATTTCAACATGCAGTTATCTCAAAAACTGGACACGTTATACCAAAACTATCTGCTTGGCTGCAGACTACTATTGATGAGTGAAATGCTTTGCTACTCTCAAGGTTAACTTTGTAACATTTTTCATACTACTTAAGAAATATTAGGCTTTCCACAACTGTTTTGGTTGCCTCTAACAGCCTGTGTATTGATTTCCATTCAGCCTATTTTACCACATACCATCAGAGTCCCTTTACATAATTCACCTCCTCTCCCCACCTACAACACTTAAAGTAAGAAACATAAACAACGACTTATAATGACTTGACAAAATGATAAAGTGAGTCTACTAATTAGTGACGTCAGTAAAGAAATACAACAAAAATTACATTACAAACTCCACATAGTTAATAATTATGTGACATGAGGTAATACCTTGCTGGTGACAATGTTAGCAAAAAATAAGCTAAGTTTAGCCAGCTAGCTGCTATGTTAGCTAACAGGTGATTGACCGTAGTTGACTTAAAATCGCATTTTTATTCATTTAAATGGATAAAAATGAGTCATTTATTGACATTGACAGTGATTTATTTTTTTTGTTGGTTAACTGTGAAGCTTTAAAAGCGGCTTTACGTTACAACAAATGACAAGTCTAATGACAACCCTAAAGAGATTATCACCCAAAGGTGCAACTTACGTCTTAGCTCACTGTTAATCATTCTCCAGCCTGACACTTTTTATTGGTTAGAATTTGTTTTGGGGTTTTTGTTTTTTACAGGCAGCTACAATTTTTATGATCATTTAAATATTAAAGACTTTTGTGTAAATTTAGGTGTGACTCCATCCAATAGCCCAGACATATTAAAATATTGTTGCCAGATAAATATCCAACAAATAAACAGGCCAGCTTTCTAATCTGTGCTAAATCTAAATCCATCTATATAGTACCTAAAACATACTGTAAATAAAAGAATCATTCAAAATGTGACAGTCCCAGCCCACTTTAAACTCTAGTCAAGAAAAACTTACACTGAAAAATTCTGACTTTAAATTTAGCCCAGCTGGCTTACAGATTACTCTCGATATGTTACCCATTAGTATCTGTTCAGGTCCAAAGATACACTAGCTGGCGACTATTTAGGACTAGAACGACAAAACTTTTATAATGTAAAAAAACAGGTTTATTATAGTACATAATTTAATGGCCTCTGTTAGAGCTTGACTGAGAAATACAGGAACTGAAAAAGGCACCAAAAATAATCTGTCACGGAGGAGCAGGGAGGACTCGGCGCAGACTGAAGTCTCAGAAAAACAGGTTTATTTACACACTCCAGGTGCACTATATACAGGTGAAGGAGAAGGGGGCCAGGGTTCCCAGGGGTGCAGAG